GGTGGAGAAACTAGGATCTGAATTCAGATTGTCAGGCCCCAGGAGCCGAGCGCCCACCCACTTCACTCCGCTGCTCCTGGGCTGCAGGAGGCTGTGGACGGGGCAGAAGCCCGGCTCCTCTCTCCTGTCTGGGTCAGAGGGTTTTTCAAGGCAAAATGCAGCTCGCAGCCTGAGGTCTGAGGTCGGTTCAGAGCCAAGAAACCACGGACACGCATCCTCTTTTGCTGGCTTTCGGTACCTTCCCTAAACTGGCTGCACAGCTCATGGCCGGACTCTCATTCGATGCTGCCTCATCTTCCATATCCACACGGACTAGACCACCCAGACAGGCAGTTTGTGATGGTTCCCTGTGACTCAGTTTCCCACAGTTCTGGAGTGAGATGTCTAAAACACATTCATCTCCAAGATGTCACATGGCTCCAATACTAGCCAAATAACAACTTCGGGCATATTAGCAAGCAGGGCCCTTCAGGCTCCACCAAAACCCCAATGACATTTCCGGAATAAAGAAAAATCCACCCTAGAATTCATGCGGACTCCAAAGGATTCCAAATAGCCAAAACATGCTTGAAAAGCAAGCACCAAGCTAGAACAAATCACCACTTCCTGATTTAAAAACACACTATAAAGGTATGATAACCCAAACGGGCTTTTTATTGGCATAAAAGCAGAGTACAGACTAATGGAATAGAACAGAGAGCCCAGAGACAGATGCTTCCACATCTGGACACATGGTTTGTGAAAAGGATGCCAAGACCTTTTGATGGTGAAAGGACAGTCTTTTCAACAAATGGTGCTGGGAAAACTAGATATCCATATGCAAAAAAAAAAAAGAAAGAAAGTGGACCCTTATCATACATCATATGCCAAAATTAACTCAAACTGGATTGAAGACCTAAATGTAAGAGGTAAAACGGAAAGACTCAGGAGAAAACACAAGGGAAAGCTTCAAGACATTGGATTCGGTGGTAACTTCTTGGATATGACACCAAAAGCTCAGGCAGCAGAAGGAAAAATAGGCAAGTCCCTTTCATTAAAATGAAAAGTTTGTGTATCAGAGGACACTGTCAACAGAGTGAAAAGCCTCCCATGAAATGGGATGAAACATCTGCAAGTCATATATATGATAAGACTGATACCAGAATATATAAAGAACTCCTATAACACAACAGCAGAAAACAACTCAAAAAATGGGCAAAGGACTTGAATAGTCATTTCTCCAAAGAAAATGCACAATCGGCACATGAAAATATGCTCCACATCAGTAGGCATTAGGGAAATGCTAATCAAAGCCAGGAATACCACTTCATACACATTGAGATGGCCATTATCAAAGAAAGAAAAAGAAAAAGGGGGGGTGGGGGGGAGAAAAAGAGGGAGGAAGGAAGCAAAGGAAAAAAAAGAAACAACTCCTGTTCCTTGATTCATTATTTCCACCTGCCAGAAAAATCATTGTAACAACTACATAAAAATATGAGCGAGATCTGAAAGGCACCCCTGAAGGTGTGCAGTGTACAACCTGCACAACGAAGCGGTGGCTCTGTGTTGGCCCCCCTCCCCTGCGCCCCCCACCCCCACCCCCCGTCTTATTCCAATGCTCTGGGGGGAGTCCACACATCCCTTCCCAGTTGCCAACCAGCCTTGAACGGGGAGGGAAATGTGTCCGTTGCCTTAGTCCCCCCCATGCACAACTTATATCTGGAATACGAGAGGTGAGGAGGGCGCTCTGTGGCCTCACCTCTCATTTCTAGTTCTGTGGTCTCGGTTTCACCTCCTTGTCCTAACACTTTTCTGGATCATGCTGGCTTCAAATGTGAAATTGTGGGACCCCTGCCTCCATTTTGTGTCCTCCATCTTGAATAATTATGTCCCCTTTTTTTTCCTTTCTTCTTTTTTTTTTTTTTTCTTCTTTTTTTTTTAAAATTTTTCCTTTTTATTCTTTTCCTTTTCCTTTTAAACCACGCCCAGCAACCTGTGCAACAAGACCCTGACCCTCCTCAGCCAATCAGCTAGGGTCCCAATAACCCCTCCCCCCCTTGGAAAGCCCCTAACTGTTCCAAAAGTAGAAAAGCAAAAAGGGAACTTTGTTTGGGGTCTCAGACCGAGTCCTGTGTTCTGACGGGCCCCTGGGACCCTAGCTCGAACCAGCAATGAAGACCTGTTTTGCTCTTGCATGTCGCGACTGGGCCTGGTGACTGCGGCTCTGCACGGGGACTCAAGGAAACGGGGCGCAGCAAAATAAAGTTCCTGGGCTACCTGTGAGCCCTGGGTTCACGCCCGGGGTCTCCCTCTCAACCACAGGAAAGAGGCCCTAAATAGGAATGATATCGGCGGGGGCACTTTCCTCTGGACAAGGTCCATTTTTCATGTAGTTTAACTTAGACCATAAGGTGTGGTGCTGGTGAGCAAGAGTTAGCAACCGGTTTAATTTACTTTATAGCCTATCAATAAAATCCTCATATTAAAAGGGAAGGAAGCCTCCCTCCAAGCCGCCTCCCCTCCGGCTTGCCTGCCCGTCAGCCTCACGTCATACTGCTCCTCCGTCACCACACTGCCCCCCAGAGAGGCGTCTGCGTCCCGCTTCCCGCTCCTGGCCAAGCTACCCTTTCGTTCCCTGGACAGCGACGTCTCCCTTCCCCGCCCTCCACGAAGGCTGCTTTTTCGGAGACCACTAATGGCTTTCCAGTGGTCATCTCTGGAAACTTAAATGGTCATCCTATTTAACCATTTCAAAACTTTAGATTTGGCGATATCACAATGCCTCGACCATGCTTCTGAGGGCATCTATTTCTGTGCCGGCCCCTCTGCCCACAGCCTCACATTCTTGCTCTCTGGGGCCTCCCTCTCTGCCTGCCTCCCGCACATCTCCACTTGGATGGCCCTCGACATCTCAGAACTACGTCCGGAGCTGACGCCACAGTTCCTTTGCGATCACCTTGTCAGTCCGCCCCCCCCCCCATTCTAGTCCCTGTCACTGTCACCAGCAGCTGTTCAATGCCCACATGGAAGCTTTAGTCACCGCTTTCTCTCGCCCTTGTCAGATATCCCCCGTCAGAGGTCCTCCCCATGCAAGATACTAAACCCTTCCCAGCCAACTCCCCACCCCTGGGCCTCTCCTTATTCTCCTTAGCACGTATTTATTCACTTCTATCTCCCCTGTAAGAATGGAAGCCCATGAAGGGGAAGATAGTATTTCGTCCACTGCTATACCCCAGTGTCTAGAGCAGTGCCCGGGGCGGAGGGACGGACACACAGAGCCTGTGGATGCAGCTACTGACATGAAGAGCTGATGAACTGGAGACAAGTGATGGATCCTGTTAAATAAACATGGGAGATACACATGGAGCGCAGACTGGAATGACCGTGGGTGGAATTCTAGAATGAGTCATTCCAACAGAGATGACAGCCACACAGGAAGGGAGGGACTGGAGAGAGAAATTCAATCATGCTGAAGTGAGATAGGATTTCCACACCTGCCTATATTGAAGAGCTAAAAATACGGACATTTGGGGAGGAAAATAGTGAGAAATCTTTTAATTCTAATGACATGGGCTATAAGGAGGGAAGTTTGCAGAGAAGGGTGTGTGTCTCTCTCTCAGTAAATCAGAAATAGAAAAAATTCTATTTAGGGTGTCCCTTCACTTTCCTTCTCCCTCAGGCCTGTTCTCATCTTTCCCTGCTATCAAAATCTCTTCTCTAGGAAAGAGTCTAACACATCCATCCATGGAAGTTTATAAGGCTTAAGTGGCAATTTACATGTGAGCAGAAGCTCATCTGAAGCAAAAGATGCTTAAAAACATTAACCATTTAAAAAATCGATGTAATCCATTATCACACGGCTAAAAAGAGTGTTCAAAAGATATTTATTGAAAGATGTTCGAAAAGCATTACTTATACGATCAAACTCTGGAAACAATGTAGTCATCCAACAATCGGGGTACCACTGAAGAACCATCTGTGTGAAGACGTATCACATGGCTATAAAAAAACACTGAGGCAGCCCCTAGGGAAATGCTTATAATGCAATGTGGGAAAACAAACAGGATTCAAATGGCTACTATACTTTGTCAATGAAAAAAAATCACACGCATTTACAGAAGACTTGGAAAGCCTGTGGCTGTCTCTGGAATCTGGGATTTGGAGGTGTTTTGTTCTACTTTCCTGTCTTTTGGAGTTGCCTAAATTTGGTATGAGATGACTGTTACAAAAGCAGACGCTGTGAAATTGGTTTGGGGAGGCAGTGTCTGGGGTCCCAGCAGTCGCCGTGCAGTGCGCCCCGCTGGTGGGGCCCACCCCAAGGGGGCAGCCGGCCAGTTCTCGGGTCCTGGGGGTCCAGCAGAGGCCCGGCTCTTCGAGAGCGCTGCCGGTGCGGAGACAAGCGGCCTCTGAAGGCGGAGGCCCTGCCCGGGGGCTCCCGGTGCCGTGCCAGGCCGGTCGGCTGCCGGAGCCCGGACGGCTGCGCTCCGATTCTGCCTCCCCTTTGTTCCCGAAACGCCAAGGCTCGCTCAGGTGCTGAGACCTGCGTTCGCCCCGCTCCTCGACCCTCGTGCTGGAAACGCCGCCGTAAGATCAGCGGAAACACGCGGGGTGCCTCGGTGATGCCCGCAGGACCGTCTCTGCCAAGTACTTCAGGTCGTGCGTGTCCCATAAAACCGCCACGGACGGCTCGGCCCTCTTCCAGGGGCGCCTGTGAACCAGAACACCCTTCCCTCCACCTCCCCTCGGCTCTCGGAGATTCCTTCCCCGCCTCTGCGTTTCCCCAGCTGGGCAGCCCCCGCCCGCGAGGAGCGCCGCCCCCACCCCTGGCCCCGGGATCCGCCGCCAGCGCAGGCGCCCGGTCCCCGAGGGCCCCTCCCTCCAGGGCTCCCAGTGGCGGAGGGTCTCCTGCCGCCGGGGCCCCCGCCCGCCCGCCCCCAGGTCCCCGGGCCCTCCGTCCCCGAGGGTTCTCCCTCCCCGAGAGCCCCCGCCCCGACCACCCTCTTCCCACGGAGGGCCCCCGCCCGCCGAGACCGAAGCGAGCCCGGCGGCCCCTCCCGCGCCCCTCCAGTTTCTGATCTGCGCCGCGAAAGCGCCGAGTCCCGACTCTCCAACCGGTGTTGCCGGGACCCCAGGGCCGCCGGAGCGCTCGCCCGCTGCGCGTCGTCGGAGCACCGCCCTCCGGCCGAGGAGCGGCAGGACCGCGGGGGCGGGGGCCCGGGTCCCGGCCCCGCCCGGAGTCCCGCGCGCAGGAGCCGCCTCCGCCGGCAGGCAGCTCCGGGCCACGTTTTGCAGGCGGCCGCCTCTGCCTCGCGGTGCCCGCCGCCCCCAGCCCGGCACTACTTGGGCCGCGCGGTGGAAGGACACAGTGAGGGCGCCGTCGTCGGCCGCACGGCGCAAGGATCCGCGCTGCGAGGTGCTGAGGCCGGGCTGTCAGTCACTCGGCGCGGCGCGCGCACGCAGCTCGGCGCGGCTGGCGGGGAGCGAGTCCGCCCAGGTCGCCGTCCTCCGCCGGCAGCCGGCCTCCCCGGGCTGTTGCTCCGCCGCCGTCCGCGCCCGAGGGCACAGGGTCGACCGCGGCACGAGCGTCGCTCGCAGCCAGCAGGGAACAATGCTGCGCACCGAGCATCTCCTCTGGACGTGGCTCCTCCTGGGAACCGCAGGTACACTGAGGGATTCGCACGGAGCCCGACCTGCCGCGGGCCCGTCGCCTGCGCCCCGGACGCTGCTCCTCGGGCGGTTTCCCGCGGTCGTTCCCGCGGGGCCGAGGACGGAGCGCGGCGCCCGCGCACCTCGTGTGCCCGCGGCCCGGCCCCCGGGGCGCTCGGCCGCGCGGGAAGAGGGCGGCGGTCGGCGGGGCCGCAGCGGTGCGAGGAGCGTCGCTCGTGCCGGGCGGGTGGGGGCCTGTCAGCGCCGGGGAGGGGGAACAATGACGCCGGGGCAGCCGCCGGTCGCCGTCTCCCCGGGCCTGATAAGCGGGGCTCGGCACGAATAACGGTTCGCGGGCGGGGCCCTGGGCAGCACCCCGGGGCCGTGCGGCCGCGCTGCGCCCCCGCCGATGCGACGCCAGCCGTTCTGGGCCGGGGCGCCGGGGGCTGCGAGCCCGCCGTGGGCCGGAGGGTCGGCGCCGCGTTTGACAGGAGCGGCGGGCGCGGGGGCGCGCGTGCGGGAGCGCCTGTGCGCGCGCGGGGCCGTGTGCACGCGCGAGCCTCCACGCCCGCCGGCCCGCGACGCACGGGGAGACGAGGGTGGCAGGTGGCCTCCCGAAACGCCGCGCCCCCGCCTCTTTCGGGCGCAGCGCGAACAATGGGGGGCTGAGCGGAGACGGCCTCGGAGCCGCGGCGGAGGCCCCGGCGGGAGGGCCACTCCGTGCGGGGCACGTTTCCCCGGCCCCCGGGGAGCCCCGGGACCGCCGTCCCCGCCAGCGGCCCCGCCCCGCCCGAGGGTTTGCACGTCGACTCGGCGGGACTGAAGGGGGAGAAGGCGGCGGGGGGCCGCGAGAGCCGGGCGGGGTGGGCGCCCGTTCCGCGCAGGCCGCTGCCAGGTGCCGCCGCCCCCTGGACGGGCAGCCGGGCTCCCAGCGCGCCCTCACCGGGCGGCCGCGCCCCCCGCCGCTCGCTCCCGCTGCGGCCAATCAGGGCGAGGCTCCTGGGCGGGAAGCCGCGGGAGGCCGTGTTGCGGCGCGGGTGGCGCCCGCGGCCACCGGGGCCCCTCGGCTGCCCCAGCCCGGCGCTCCGCCCGCGCCCTACCCGCGCTCCCGGGGGGCTTCGGCGGGAGGTGCCCGCGCCTCCTTCGCGCCTGCGTGCGGCCCCCGCCGTCTCCCGCGCGAGCACTCGCGCCCGTGGATCCGGCCGGAGCTCGTCTCCTGGGGGCGGGGGGCGGCACCGCCGCGCGTGCGCTGACCTGCGGCCGGGAGGGGCCCGGGAGGGTGCCCGGGGCCTTGGAGGGGGCGGTGGGCGCCGCGCTTGGGCCGGGGCCGCCCCCGTGTGCCCTTTCCGTGGAGCCCGGGGGTCCGCGCGCTCCCCGCGTGGGGCGTGTTCCCGGGACCTCCTCGCCTCGAGGCGGGGCGTGGCCGCGGGGACCCGGCCGCCGGCGGGTCTGGGGGCACTCCGGGCGCTGCCCTCCGCCGCCGGGACCAGGAACTGCGGGTGCCTGGATGCCCGGGGGTTCCCGGGTTGGGGTGTTCGCGGCTGCCCAGGCAGGGTGGCATCTGACCCCCGTGCCTTGGAAGGACAGCGTCCTCATTCCCGGCCCGGCGACCGTGAAGCAGGGATGGAGGCAGAACGTGAAACACGTCCAAGGATTAACAAAAGAAATTGAACGGTTTTCCAATTTATCTTCCATCCAAATGTTGACTGTACCATAGTTTTAAAAATGGAAGAATTCAAGCCAAAGGGTCAGAATGGAATTAAAAACACTGTGACATACATACACATCCATTTATTTGCCTCTCGTGTCCCGGGCAGGGGCAGTGGTGGCCCATCTGTGCGGCCCGGCCGGGGACGTGTGCTGAGCCTAACATGCCCGATGAATGGGGTCTGCAGCCCCGCCCTCATTTTGGCGTCTTATGTTGTTTAGGAATAAAGTGTAAGGATGTGTCATTTCATAGCAAATCTGAGTCTATTCTAAGAGCGATTTTGAATGTTTCGTGGAAAAATTGTTTGAATCGTCTGGAATGGTTGTTAAATCATACGTTTATTTGATAATCTTACAATTCACTGTCAATTTATCTTGCAAGAGTCAGGGAATGGATAGGACTGTTTTTCTGACAAGATTGTCCTGGATCAAGAACAAAGAGCACCTTGGCTACCTTACAAAAGCCAGCTGGCACATATAGGCATATATAATAACCCTTATTATGTGAATTAGGATTTGTTTTAGCAAAGCTGGCTGCAAGTACAATTATAGTGAGCAGTATTTTTTGTTGGTTTTCACTTTAAAATCAGAAATGTGTTTTTCTGAACAAAATTTAACTCTGTAAATAAAGCCATGTTTAAGAATGTGGAAAACCTTTCACAACTCTGTTCAAGGGCCAAGAAGTTAATTTTCTTTCAACAAATATCACATATATTAAAATATTGAAAATAAGTTAAATTTATTTAGAATTCAACAAGAGTTAAACAAAAATAGGATATAACTCAGACATTGTGAAGTGTGGCCTGCCATTTATTTAATAGTTTTTGAGTTATTCCCACCACAAAGGGTGTAAAAATCTAGCAGTAGATCATAGATGTTTTAGTTTATGTCACTAGTTTAAAACTACATTGTTTTTTCAAGTCATTTTTTTCAAGAAGCTCCTCCCTTCTTCCCCCAACCGATTGAACTTGATGACTTCTTTCCAGATACCTCTACGTGTGATCTGTTTTTTAAAATAATACTAGAATAGGAAACAGGAGAACATATCCTTGTTCACTAAGGAGGTTCATCTATGTCTCTATGCGAATTGATTGATTTGTTGATTTAACTGGTGACTGTTTCTTAGGCTTGATAGTTCAAGAATTAAGGAAGTAATTGTTTGCCAAAAAAAAAATATTATGGTGTGGGTGTGCTCTTCACAGGGAGTCTGGGCACTTGATCAGGGCAGCAGTAAGAGGGGAGCTCAGTCACATGGAACCTCCCAGTTTGAAGAGATTTGGTGGGTACTCTCAACAGGATACATTTATGACTGATTGACTTCTCAGGTAATAAGTAACTTAGCAGAAGTAATCTGTGTCTATATTTTTCTGTCGTAGGGAACAGCATCTTAAATTGCCTCTCAAAATAAATGGCACTGTTTTGTCATTCAAAAACTAATCTTTAGACGTGACACATGTTTTTGTTTGCTGCAGAACCCGGTTTCTTATAGACAGCATCTACACTGCTCTACACTGCTTGAAATGGATTTTGGAATTTCTGATCGAACCACTTGAGTTTTTAAGGCGACAAAGCCTCTAATATTAGTTTGATAAATTCTCCGTATCTTGTCATGAGTGTTAAAGAACTGTGGCCGCTCTCCAGACCGAAGTGACTTCACGGCTACTGGCAGGCCTTCCTGTCTCCGTGGAAAATAAGTGATGGACTACCTGTTGCTAGAGAACGGTTTGAACTTTCCCTGCCAGGCTTGGGTTTGTGGTGATGGCGAGCAGACCAGTTGGCAGGGAGGGGAGAAAGGGGGCTGCACCTGCTGTCATCCGTCTTCTGGGGACTGTCAGCCTGGGAGGAGACAAAGGCATTTTGCGACCCTCCTGTACTATTTAAGTGTTGAGTTTTTGAGCACACAGGTATTTTATGGTGTCAAGATAAATATTTTAATGTAAATTCTGCAATTGACAATTGTGCAGCTTAGTGATCTAATGAAATATGGGCTAGAAGTGTGTAGAACCTTAAAATGGCAGCAAATCCTGAAGTGCATTTACTAGTCTTAGTAAACTAGGCAGTGGGCTACCAACAGACGGTGCTGCTAACGTGAACCAACTGGCTGGGTAATAATGGTGTCTGTTTGAACTTTGAATAAAAAAGACTGAAGCTACGATGCCGCTAGCTAAAAAGGAAGAAATAGGAGTATAATTAAGAAGAGAATTTTATACACCTCTTAAACTGCTTAGCAAGTGTGAGCACTGTTGTAGCAGGTGGCCTCACGGGAAGGGGAAATGCCTGTGGACCCCTCTGAATCCTAAGGATTGGGTCTCTGAGGTCCAGAGTTCTCTCTATGGGAAAACAATGTAGTGAAACTATTACCAATAATACAGGTAGAAGTTCTTGCTACCATGGGGCAATAAATCTTCAAGTCAGGCTGAAGGTCACAGGCATGTCCTGTAGCCCTTTTTGTTACTAAGTCTTGGCGCCAAGCCTTAAAGCCGCTTGTGGACGTGAAGGGCTGTGAATTGGCCCGCCTTCCTTGCGGCGCTGGGCGCTGGCCCTTAGCCGAAGATGCTCCTGGGTGGGGGCACCGCCTTTCTGTGTTGATCTGGGGCCACGTGGCAGCCTTTCCGGCAGTTTCAGCCCATCCCACTTAACCCCGCCCCCTCGGGGCCGCGTCTGCCTGCAGCCCCTGAGTGAGCCGCTCTGTCAGGACGGGGGCGGGGGCGGGGGCGGGGGCGTTGCTTCAGCTCCTGAGCAGTGGGAGGCTCGAGGAGGAGGACGCTGCAAGGAGAAGCGCTTGGCCTGTCTTCTGCTTGTCTGTTTTTGGGAAACAGAGTTTAATTCACCTAACATGCATTCTTTTTCTCCCAGATGTAAGTGTGCTTTCCTTTCAGTTTAAAGACCGCATCACTGATGTGGCCGGAAAGCCTTCTGTGTGACTGGATCACACTTCGTGATTTGTAGCTGTGAACGCTGTCTGCATCTGGCCCTGTTTTCTATTCTGTGTCATTCCTGAGATGACGTGTAATAGCCTTTTGGCATCTGATTGCTCAGCATTTAGGAATAGTCATGGTCAGGTCACATTGTTTGAGATTGTGTCACATCACATATTCTTTCAAATAGTTATCAGATATGTTTATTAGGTGCCAGTCTTTTATCATAGGCTCCATGGGGGATTACAAAGGACTGAGACAGCATAATTTCTGCTGTCCAGGAACCGTGGACGTAATGTAGCATGGAGACTAAGAGTGGCCCCCAACCCTTGGCTGAAACCCCAGCCTTCTCCCTTATTAGCTGCCTGATTTGGGGTATGGCATTTAGG